TTCTATAAGTCGAAAGGAGACTGCGACCATACCCGAGGCCACAACATCTTGGTCTTCACATCTTCAAAGGAATTGAAGTTTTGACGGAAGTAATAGAGAAGATCGCGCAGCTATTTATACTTTGTTATTTGTAAATTGTTTCATCCTCAAACTATTTCGACTTTACGATTAGTTAGGGCAATAACCTTTACCTTAACTACACTTTTTATTTACCAAATTTCATTCGCATTCCTTGGGTTTCATTCCTTAAAATATATTTTTTACTTCACAATACTTAATACTTAGCGATATTTTCCTATTTTAAATCTATCAGGAGGTCGATAGTTTTACAGGTCGATAGTTTTACAGGTCTATCATTTTAGACTGGCTTATCATTTTAATAGTCGATAATAGTTTTTGTGAAATTTATTTTACCTTTCCATTCATATCAACCTACAATTTTCATTCAGTGTTACTGCTCTTTCAAATTCTTATTATCTCACAGAACCCTATCGTACTATGACACAATTGCCTATAAACAAAAAATTCCTTAATTATATCAAGCGAGTAGGGCCTGCTTTGCTTTTTCTGTATGATGCTAGGGTTATGTGGCTCAGGAGTGACGTTTCTTATTCTGTTCATCTAAACCTTGAGTCCTGCATGGATTGTTGTTGCAAGATTGAAACTGCAGTCAACAATGGATTATAAAGCCCTTTTGGGGTGCATGACAGTGAATTTCACTTCAAAAATCAGGTATTCTTCTCAATCTACCATAGGAAATGGTTGATATTGGTCCATTAAAGCGCCAGTCGACACTTCGAAGACACTCCATCGTGCATTCACCTGGTATGTCAATTTTTTCCATATTACTAAGATGAAAATTCTACCCGATTAATCATTCAAGTAGTTAAATTTTTCCTAATTGATTTAGCTCATCAGCAAATACACTTAAGATCCTTTTGTTTACTAAGGGGATCAAATTTGTCTTAATTAAAAGTATCCAAACGTAACTTACCATTCAGTGTAATCATCATATTCTGTGATATTGTCTTTTTAAATCATTTAGCTGGAATTCAGAAGGAAGAGAGGGGATACCCGCACTGGTCATGCCCTTCAGCCAGTACAGCTTGACTCTAAGCTGTCGGTTAGTACTATCAATTGTCAGATATTGCCAGCCCCTTCAAGCAAAGGTCACGAAGATCAATCTTACCTGGCCATCTGGTTAATTGGTCTGTTTTGGCTCTTCAATCCTTTTACTGCAGTGATATCTGTGCGCGGAAATGCTGAGGCGGTACTGGGCGCATTATTACTCTCTAGTTTGTTGTTGTTACTCAAGGATCGACTTATAGTTGCAGGACTCCTCTTTGGTGCTGCGATACATCTGAAGCTTTATCCTATTATCTTGACCCCTTTGGTCTATTTTTGGATTCATTTTTCATCGGCAACAACCATCGCTTCTTGTCCCTCACCTCCCACTGAAATCGAGACCTCTGGGGCCTCAGGCAAAGTGATACACTCTTCGCAACTGCCGCCTGATCCTTATGTTCTTTTGACCCCCAAAACAGCTCATCTGCTCCTTGAACCTCGTGGCAACGCTTACTCTTACTTTTTACCTTCTCGTCGGCATTTTCTCTTCGGTCTGCCGGCCCTTATCAGCCTTCTCGGCTTGATTTGTCTTGCCTCCTTCTTAGTTCCAAATGACTCCTTTGCAAGTGGATCTACCTACAATTTTAGCTTTATAAGCATTAACTTCAATTGGGGTTATTTGAGACAAGCTATCGCCTATCATTTATTCCGAGTCGATATTCGGCACAACTTCGCACCTCACTTTTACCCCTTCTATCTTATCTTAGGCAGACAACAGACGGCTCCGGTTGACACAGAATCTCCATATCATTGGTGTGGTAATCTCTTCAGAGTAGCCACTCTGCTCCCTGGTCTCTTGTTACCACTGGCTCTAGGATATCGGCTCCGATCACGATTCAGCCTTGCCTGTTTTGTTGTTATTCATCTCTTCGTCACTTTTAATAAGGTAATTTTTTGCGTCACTACATCCAGTATATAAATATCTATACTTTTGACGCTGAATAACATAATTAAATTTTCGAAGCTTCTTGTTGTTGATGCAATTTGTATATGGCGAATGCTACTATGTAACACTGCAATGATGATGCGCATCTAAAGCTTAATTAATAAACTGTTCATACTTAAGTGAGAATAAGCTCTTTACATGCCACTGTAATGTATTTGGCCTCGACTCATCATCAAGGATGGACTTAAGTTTCGACCCTATCTGGAATTCAATTAAACCGGCACTATTGCTTCAGCGCATTATTTTTCGGCGCAACCAGGTCTCGAATTCATCTGATGCTGATTAGATCTGGGCGAAGTTAAACATGTAGTATACTCTAGATGATAAAGTCTTTAGAGGCGAAGCTAGGTGGATTCAAATTTCGTGATAAGTTTTATTCATTTCATTATATGCAGCTAAACAACCATACCTATTCAAGTGCTATGTTAAGGATCCAGACTATTGCAGTAAGCTCCTACAAACACATCTTAAAGTATTATGGTACCTGCAGTCTAGAAAGGCAAATTCGTAGTATCCTTAAAATCTGGTAGATTTTCCTATTTAAACTTCCTAATCGAGCCATGCAATCGCACCTCCACTCGTAAAACTATGCTAATAGACTAAGTATTTCCCAAATTGAATAGAATTGGTTGAAAATTTATGTTCTTTGTAGCCATAATAATCAGACTCCTGAGAAAGATCAGTCAACTATTCCATTTAATTGCAATGGCATCTTTATTTTTGATTCGGTCTAAGCCTCGTAAAAGCCCTAATAAGACTAATACCTATTAAGTGAATATATTTCTCGACTTCTCCATAATTTCAACTTGTTTCAATTGCAATCCAGCTTATTCTTATTTCATTATTAATGCTTTCTCGATAAATTCTTTTGTCAACGTTGTTTCGGTACGACGTTTTCCTAATTCGTTTAAAGTTTTCCGCTTATTTATCTTTATTTTAAATTTTATTAGTTTTATTCGTCATTCTCTTTCACTAAATTCTAAATTTGATTGAGAACTCTCCTTAACAACCTCATAGTAATTAAAAATAGTGTGACGGAAATATACATTTGATCTCATTTTCGTGTTTTGGGAAGTTTATCAGTTTGTAGGTTTTTATGCATGTAATGCCATTTCTGGATTTACCAGCCGCTTAGCGGCTCTGGATGCCCAGGTAAACTCTTCTTGGAACATTTGTTTGTATGTAGGTCTTAAGAGTTATACAAAAAGACTAGTTTAGAGGATTTCTTTATTGCGATGGGCTTGTATGAGATTATCATCGGAAAATAGATTTTTGTTTAAA